CCCCAGGGGGAGCGGACACAAGGCACCAAGGGACTTACGGACCACATGGCCCCGCCTCTCAGCCGAGTGCGCAATCCCCATGCCCGATGTCCAGCGCGAAGCATGGCACCAGGGCCACGGGCGCAGCCGAGCGCCACATGTAGCGGGCAAGCTCCATCCTGCTGGTTCTTGACGACTTAGGCCGGTTTGTCTGCACCCTGCAGGCGCGCGGTTTGGCAATGTCGGTGCCCCGGGCGGCGTAGGGCCGATCCTCAGATTACGAAGCCAGAAAACCACAAGACAACAACACCACATTAGCACAGCGAAGTAGAAAATAACAATAAACAATTAAATTCACGGGAAAACAAAACAACTGAACAACAAAAATGCCTCTTCCTGTTCCTCCTCCTCCTCCTTCTCATGTTCCTCCTCCTCCTCCTCCTCATCATCATCATCCTCCTCCTCCTCTTCCTCCTCCTCCCTCCTCGTTTCCTCGTTTTCCTCCTCCTCCTCCTCCTCCTCCTCCTCTTCCTCCTCCTTCTCCTCCACCTCCACCTCCTTCCTCCTCCTCCTCCTCCTCCTCTTCCTCCTCCCTCCTCCTTCTCCTCCTCCTCCTCCTCCTCCTCCTCCTCCTCTTTTGCCTCTGCGGGCCCCGCCGCGGGCGAAAGTCCGTCGAAGTCGAGGGACACGATCCCGCATTCCAGTGCAGCGAAACGCCCGACACGGGCGACGGGCCGCGCGCCGACCCCGCAGGCCCTCGGGCTGAGAGGGGGGGCAAAACCAGGGGGAGGGACCGGAGCAGAGCCGGGAGCGGAGGTAGAAGGAGAGCAGGCCTGGGAGAGCAGGAGGGGGCGAGAAGGGCGAGCGGAACTCCTCCTCCTCCTCCTCCTCCTCCTCCTCCTCCTCCTCTCTCCTCCTCCCTCCTCCTCTTCCTCTATCTTTTGCCTCCGCGCGGCCTCGCCGCGGGCGAAGTCCGAGAATCCTCCTCCTCCTCCTTCTCCTCTTCCTCCTTCTGCTCCTCCTATTCCTCCTCCTCCTCCTCCTCCTGCTCCTCCTCGTCCTCCCCCCCTTCCTCCTCCTGAACATCCCCAGCATCCTTTATTGTATCTATCCTCTTTTTCTGATAATGCGATTACTGGTCGTTTTCGTTGTATTCGTACAAGTATCATTATTGTGATTAGCAGTATCACCAGTTTAGCAGCTATTGGTATTCTCGTATCGTTGAAATAAGATTGATAATAATTGCTATCATCAGCATTCGTATCAATATTAATACTACTAGTATTAGTATTGTGGTTCGCATCCTTAGTAGTACTACTAGTCTGATCACTCGTATAAGTATTCGTGTTTTTCTTTCTTTCCTTATTGTATTACCGTATTATTATTGTGATTATTATTCGTATGTTCACTAGTCTGATGCTTAGTCTCATTATTACTAGTGGTACTATTAGTCTGCGTCGTCTTATTATGTGTCTTCTTCGTCGGGAGTCCACCGCATCTTCCCTCACTGCTTCCTCATCCTGAGTCGTTTTTGACGGCGCCCGGGGCCACGGAGGGCCCCGCGGGGGCCCGAAACCGAAATGAAAGCATCATGACCTTTCTCCTCCAAGACCTGTTTCCTCCATGCTGCCCCTCCCCTTATCCTCCCCCCCGGGGGGGGGCGCCCCGGAGGCTTCCAGGCCGTCGGCGCGGGCTTCGTCCTCGCCTGCGGCGAGAGGACCTCCTCCTCCTCCTCCTCCTCCTCCTTCTCCTCCTCCTCCTCCTCCTCCTCCTCCTCCTCCTCCTCCTCCTCCTCCTCCGCCTCCTCCTCCTGCCAGAGCAGGTCAGGCCGCCCTGGCCCGCCTTGAGAAGGTTGAGCTCCCCCCCAGGGCGGGCCTCCTGGCCCGACACGCGCAGAGGATGGCCCCGCTCGTCTCTTTATCTGCTGGGGCAGCATTTTCCGAGAGTGGGCCGTGCCCCCTTGGGAGGCTTTCCAGGAGGAGGGCAGGCTGTGGGTGAATCCTCGCGCGCACAGCATGCCAGAGAAGAAGAGGATAGGGGGGGGGGGGTCTCGGGGCGGAAGGCTCGAAATGTCAGCTCGTGCTCCCCCTCTCGGGCCCCTCTTTCGGCCGTCGGGGGGGGGGGGGGGCTCTCGGGCCTCTCTCGGGGGGCCTCCTCTGGGCTGTCTTCGGCCCCTCTCGAACCGTCTTGGGATCCTGTGGGGGGCTTCGTGGGTCGTCTTGTGGCGATGTTGGGTGCATCCGGCAGTGGAAGCTCGAAATGGCGAGGGGGCTCAAACCCGTCAAAGCCAACGCGAACACAATCATGTTTACCTTTGGGGGGCACCCAGGGGTTCTCCTGGAGCCCCCATTGAGGCGTTTCGTGGGTGTCTTGGGTCGTCTTGGCGACATATTGCGCGTCCTGGGGACCTTCTTGGACCATCGAGGAGGAGGGGCGGAAGAGGATGGCGGAGGAGGATGGGGAGGGGGGCGGCGGAGCAGGAGGAGGAGGAGAAGGAGGAGCAGGAGCAGGAGCAGGAGCAGAGGAAGGAGCAGGAGGAGGAGGAGGAGGAGGAGGGGGAGGAGGAAGAGGCGGAGGAGGAGGAGGAGAAGGACCTGTGTAAACCCAAGAGTCATCAACGATGTTGGAATAAACCCTCCCTCCAAGCTCCCACCTCACAGGCCCCATACAAGGGCTCATTTCCACTGAGGGAACTGCCTCGTTGGAAGACAACCGTTTGAAGACCCTGATGCGTACCAAAACATCGTTCTCGGGATTCCAACGCCACAGATCAACCTGACTGTTGCGTCTTCACGATCCTGAATCGCGCTAGACCGTCATTCCTGGGACTTTCACATTGCGAATCAACGTAACTGTTGCGCCCTCGTAATCATGAATCCTTCCAGAACGCCCTTCCTGGTACCCTCATCATGGGAATCCGTGAAACTCTTGCAAATTGTTTGAAATTGATGTGCGCGGCGCTAAGGCGAGAGCCACATTTTGAAAACCACCCGCCCTCCATCTGTGAAGCAGTTGTCAATGTTTAAACTTCAGGGTCATCAATGGTGAGGAATTCTCAGGCGAAACGCCCGGACCGCCATAAAAGCTGCCTTCGGGGTGCGACAGGGAGAAGCTACTTACAAGGAAAAGGAATGGAGGAGGAGGAGGAGGAGGAGGAGGAGGAGGAGGAAGAGGAGGAGGAGGAGGAGGAAGAATAATAATAATAATAATAAGAGAAGGAGGAGGAGGAGGAGGAGGAGGAGGAGGAGGAGGAGGGGTAAGAAGGCTGATCGCGCTCCGCGGCGAGGGTCGCAGAAGCTGCCCAAGACGGCCCAGGAGGTCACCAAGGTTGCCCAGAAGGCCCTTCAGAAGAAGAGCCCCAATGGACAATGGAAAGACTCGGCCAGGCTTTACTCGGCCAGTTGAACTTGGCCAGGCTGAACTCGGCCCCGGCTGATTTCATCCTTGCCGAGTTCACCTTGACCGAGGTCAGCCGGCCGAGCTCAGCCTGGCCGAGGTTTGTTGCTGCCCAAGGGGAGGGGCGCGAGCTCAGACGGGGCTGGGACGAGGACATCCGTTCCAGAGCGCTCCGGAGCGCTCTCCGAGCGCTCCGGAACGCTATGAGAAGACCGCGGCGCTGGAGATGGAGACATCCTCCAGAGCCGCCGGATCTCAGAGAGATGCTCAGTGCATTCTCGCCCGAGTGCGTCATCGTCCTGGCCCCGTCGGAGCGCGAGCGCGCGCGAGCTGACACTTCGAGCCCTCCGCGCCCAGAGGACCTCCGAGACCGTGGCCAGAGCCCCAATGGGGCCCCCTCTGCGGCCGTCGCGGGGGCGCACAGGCCGCCGCGCTGCGCTTTGCCGCTCGCGGCCGGTGGGGAGCTCGGCGGCCGGGCTGCGCGCCTGGCCAGCTCAGCTCGGCGGCCCTCGGAGGCCCTCGGAGGAGGCCTCTGGAGGCCTCTGGACGCTCGTGGGAGGTTTTCGGAGGCCCTCGGCGGCCCGCGGCGGCCCGCGGCGGCCCGCGGCGGCTCTCGATGGGGCCCTCGGAGGCCCTCGGGGGCCCTCGGGCAGCACCGCCTGCCTGCCCGATGGCGGGGGCGCGGTCGGTGTCGCCGCGGCGGCCGCGGCCCCTGCCCCTGCAGGGGCTGCTGGCGCGAGGCGGGGCGGGGGCGGCGAGGAGGCGGGGGTGGGAGGGCGCCGAGGGCGGGGGGGGGGGAGGCGAGGAGGAGGAGGAGGAGGAGGAGGAGGAGGAGGAGGAGGAGGCGAAGAGGCGAAGAGGCGAAGAGGCGAAGAGGCGAAGAGGCGGGGTGGGAGGGCGCCGAGGGTGGGCGGGGGAGGGGGCGGGGCTCTCGATGGTCGCCTGAACCGAGCTTGAGCCGAGAGGGTCACCGATGAGGATGAGCCAGGAGCGAGGATGGGGTGACGGACGAGGAGGGAGCAGAAGCGAGGACGAGGAGAAAGACGACGAGGATGAGGAGGAGAAATAACGGCGGTGGAACGGCATATGGTGATGATAATGATGATGATGAGGAGGAGGATGATGATGATGGTGATGATGATGCTGATGATGATGCTGATGATGGATGCTGATGCTGACGCTGATGCTGATGCTGATGCTGATGCTGCTGCTGCTGATGATGATGATGGTGATGATGGTGATGATGATGATGCTGATGCCGATGCTGATCATAATACTCATGATGATGCTGATGATGATAATGGTGGTGGTCTTGGTGGTGATGATGATGATGATGATGATGATGGTGATGGTGATGAGGATGCTGATGATGCTGCTGATGATGATGAGTGTGATGATTCTGATACGGATGCGGATGCGGATGCTGGTGCTGCTGATGATGAGGACGATGATGATGATGATGATGATGATGATGATGATGATGATGATGATGATGATGGTGGTGGTGGTGGTGGTGATAGTGAGGCTGCTGACGAGGACGATGCTGAGAATGATGATGCTGATGATGATGATGAGGAGGAGGAGGAGGAGGATGAGGATGAGGATGAGGATGAGGATGAGGATGCTGATGATGCTGATGATGATGATGATGATGATGATGATGATGATGATGATGCTGATGCTGATGCTGATGCTGATGCTGATGATGATGCTGATGCTGATGATGATGATGATGATGATGATTATGATGGATGATGATATGATGATGATGATGAATGATGATGATGATGATGATGGATGATGATGATGATGATGATGATGATGATGATGATGATGATGATGATGATGATGTGATGATGAGGAGGAGGAGGATGAGGAGGAACAGGAGGTGGAAGAGGAGGAGGAGGAGGAGGAGGAGGAGGAGGAGAAGGAGGGAGAATCGAGGGCGAAAGAGCAGCAGGGGGAGGACGTGGATCTCCCTCCTAAATACTACCTTCCGCATCCTCGTCCCTCCCTCCTCCTCCTTCCTCACTTCTCCTCCTCCTCCGCCCATTCCCCCACATCCGCGTCCCGTCTGGCGGCAGCACTGGCAACGCCCCCAGGAAGGTCGGCGTGCACGTTGGCGCAGATGGTGACATACACGGATGGTCGCAGGCGCCCTGCCACCCGGGGGAGCGGAAGGAATGGGGAGTTGCAAGGGGGCGGTTGATGAGAGGCTCAGAGGAGGAGGAGGAGGAGGAGGAGGAGGAGGAGGAGGAGGAGGAGAAGGAGGAGGAGGACGAGGAGGAGGACGAGGAGGAGGAGGAGGAGGAGGAGGAGGACGAGGAGGGAGGAGGAGGAGGAGGAGGGGACCCAGGAGGAGGGGACCCAGGACGCCCCCTAGGATGCTGGCCCAATAGGGCCAGTTGACCCGAATGGGGGATGACCCAGCAACGTGCCCCAGGGCCTCTGCGTTCCGACTTTACGCAGCACGCGCCCTCTGCCACAGCAACTGTAGTCTCAGTCAGCCGTCCCTCCTCCTCCGTCCGCCCACTCCGAGGTTATGATGTCCGAGGTTATATTATTTCCTCCTTCCTCCTTCTCCTCGATCTGTCTGCCTTTCCCTTTTATAACTTCTACCTCCCACGTAATATGCGTACCCTGCCGGTGGCCCTTCGAGCGGCGACCTGGAACTCTTTTGATCAAACCCCCAGGGCCGACTGGCCCTGTGGGGGGCAGGCTGTGCCCGACGGGATCTCAAGCCACCAGGAGCCAGGAGGAGGAGGAGGAGGCGGAGGAAGAGGAGGAAGAGGAGGAGGACGACGACTGTTAAGGCCTGACGGCCGGTGCCGCCGACGGAGGAGGAGGAGGAGGAGGAGGAGGAGGAGGAGGAGGAGGAGGAGGCGGAGGCGGAGGCGGAGGCGGAGGTAAGGAGAGAGGAGGGAGGGAGTGGGAGGAGGAGGAGGAGGAGGAGGAGGAGGAGGAGGAGGAGAGGAAAAGGACTCCACCCTGGGACCCCTCCCCCCTGGGGAGGGGGACCGGAGAAGGACCGGCGTGGGAGAGGGGAGGGGAAGGGGAGGAGGACCCCCCCCCAGGAACGGATGCGTATCTGACTCCACTCCCCCCCCTGGGACTCCTCCCCGCCTGGGGAGGAGGACCCGAGGAGGACTGGCGCGCCGGAGAAGGACCGGCGTGGGAAGGGAGGACCCCCAGAGGCGATGCGAATCTGACGCCCCCCCTGTCCCCCCCAGGACCCCCCCCCCCCGCCAGGGAAGGGACAAAGGGAAGGGGCCCTTTGACGTAATAAAGACGTGGATGGACTTCCCTCAAGCTGCGAACCCGTTCCCCAAACGAGGAAAGGTGCTCTCTCTCTCTCTCTCTCTCTCCCCCGACGGGAGGGGACGATGGGAAGGAGGGGACGAAAGAAGGCTCCCCGTCGATGGGACCGGACAGACCCCCCACACGCCGACAGGGCCGGAGGACATGCACCTACCATAAATCTTAAAGACATCAACTTTCATGGACTCCGGATTCCGTTCAAGAAAATGAAGAATCCGAATTTGGGCGGTCT